ACAACGCACTGGATAGCTGGCCAATCAGAGCACACCTCGCTTTTCAGACCGATGAGCTTTATAAAAATCGACGTGTTTCAGAAAGGCGGGGAATAGAGGAGAAACAATAATGTACAGTATGTGGAAAATAATGTGTTTTTTGAACCTTAAACCGCATAAGCAGATTTCATTACACCAAATACACCAAATAATGTTCTTTTTAGCAGCATCATATGACCCCTTTAAAACACAATTAAGTCTTTAGAAACTCTATTAATTTGATGAGCTGTTACACATACATTTAGCCCATGCATATGCTGAAGTTGAGTAGCAAATATGTCAAAGCAAAAATATGTCTCACAAAAGCTATAGAGAAGATATATTTTTATTATGTTAGAAAGTCTAAGTCTAAGACATTAAAAATTACTAGTGACACAGAGCTGACAGCCTTATTCCTAAGCTTAAAATGTGTTGTACCAGAAGACCTTTGATGGTGTCGAAGAAAAAGCACAATATAATAAAATGTTTGATCACAACAACTGAAAAAAAAAAACTGCAATGTACAGCTAAATACTTGCAAGATGACCTGATGAAAGGAGAAAAAAATATTTCAATGCAGAGTATAAGAAGAACACTAGACAAGTGTGGCCTTCATGTTGGGGCATCTTGCCAAATGACTCTTGACCAAAAAGAACAAAAAAGGCCAACTTGAACATGCTAAAATTCATTTGGATAGACCTGTGGAATTCAGGAAGAATGTTTAATGGAGGGATTTAACCAAACTGGAAATTTCTGGACCCATGGATCACTGGTATATCTGGTGCAAAAAAAGGCAAAGCTTATCCACCTTATTTTTCAACGTGCATGTAAGCCGTTTTCTGTGAATGTGCGGGACTTCAGGCTCATTAGCCGCTATAGGGAAATAATGAGAAGAATAAAGTGTAGTAAACTGTAAAACTGTTTGCACTACAAACAAGTTTGTTCATAAATAAGATAATACTTTAAAATAATATGGTAAAACATACCAGTTTGCAATATCAAGCAGCAAAACGAGCTGTTTCATACTGCTAAAAACGACTGTAAGCGGATGACCCCGGAAGCCAGACACATTAAATTTATAAATGGCTGTGCCTGCTCTTACAGGAAAAAGTAAGATTGATATGCAGTAGAACACCATCTCCATGGTCAAACATGGAGGTGGACCAGTCCTATTATGGGGCTGTTTTACTTTTGCAGAAGGTGAAAATCATGACTGTATGAAGGATATCATGGATTATTTGATATCAGGCCATTTTGGCAGGAATTAACTTTCCTGCAGGACAATCATCCCAAAGTATACATCCAAATCTACTTATGTCTGGTTCAGGGATAAATCATAGAATGTTCTTGAATGGCTTGTTCAGTCATTTAATTCTCATTGAAAATATCTGGTTGAATTTGAATAAAGCAATAGCAATGTGAAAACTAAAGATAATCAGTGATCTTGAAGCCTTTTCAAGCGAGAAATGGGACAAGATTGCAGTTGAGAGGCGACGGAAGCTTCTAAGCACTTACAGCCCACATTTATTGGTGGCTCTAAAGAATAAAAGATTCTGCACCAAATTTGACTTATGGGGGATTTTGAACATGAATGTTTAGAGCAAGTTTGATTTGTTTTCCATTATTCATTAACTTTCGTTCTCAGAAACACTCAGATGTGTATTAATAAACTTTCTCTAATAGTTTACTGATTACTTTGTTGAATTGTTAACAAAATCTTGTTCTCTGCAGCAAAATGTCTCACAGGTCAAGGTGGTTTAATAATTTTGATTGCAACTGTAAATCCCCTCCCCTGTGCACTTCAGTATGCTAAAAGAGCTTTTTCCCTAAAAGAGCATTTACGGGTGCGTCTTTTTAAAGATGACGTTGCGTGGCAAACTTGACGTTACGTCTTTGTAAAGACGATGTGGGTCTTGCTATAGACAACGTATCACCCGGGCGTTTCTGGATGCGGTCGTTACCTGGCGCTGGGTAATGGTCACGATCGCTGCCTCACGTGCCTAGGCATTTAGCACGCTGAGGTGGCGTTTGTGGATGAGTCATGTTCTCATTGCGGGAAGATGATCATCTCGGAGTCGCGAGCCAAGCTCCGTTTCCTCAAAGGGGCGGAGCTCCATTGCCTCTGCCCCGATCTAGTTCTTGTCATGGCGGCAGTCAGGCAGGGGCCACTTCAGGCAGTAGCATGGGCGGTCTGAGGGTAACAGTGACGGCAAACCCTCCAGGGAACCAACCCTCGGGGGACCATCGCTCCTCTTGCACTCCGCAACCAGTTGAAGATTTGGCTGCGCTGCTGTCCTCCGGGACTGTAGCAATGCCTGAATCAAATCCGGAAATAATGGCTATGCTTTCCCGGGCCACCGTGGGGGTAGGGCTCGAGTGGAGACTTCCACCGTGTCCCGAGCCCTCAAGGTTGCACGATTGGTTCTCGGGGTGGTCCGCGCTGGTTCTCAGCGCCCCGCCTCGGTTGTGGTCCAGGAGCGTCACCTCTGGTTGTGTCTGGTCGACATGAGGGACCCCGACAAAGTTCGGTTCCTCAAGGTCCCTGTGCCTTTTTGGCGACACAGTCGAGAACATGGCCCAGCAGTTCTCAGCTGCACAGGAGCAGACTGAGGCGGTCTGACCTTCTGCCCGGCGAGCAACTGCTGCCTCCACCTTT